GTGGAAATCTATTTATCTTATAAACAAAGAACCATATTGGTGTAGTGTTAGACTTATTCCCCTAATGGGAACAAACCTGACAAGTTGCCAATATCCAGAAAAAAAGATTTTATACTACATACAAAAAAGATCATCTTTATGGCTGTAGGAAATAAAATTAAATAAAGAAGTATTATACATTGTTTAATATTATTTATACAGAGCTGGTGGAGAAGATGACTTTGAGATGTTTTTGGCTAGTGTGAGAGCAAGATCACTGAAGACTAGGGCACAAAACTCAGGTAAGGTTGCTGACTTGTGTGTGCTCAAAGCAGATTATATGAGATCAACCTAAATACTAAGTCTTTATTAATACGCATGCATTATTGGCTGTTATTTGGCTCACATTCCTCTATTAAGAAATATTGTTTAGATTCATTCAAACTACTTGGTCTTTGGAGGATTTTCTTAATTCTTTGAAATGATACTTTTTGGTATTATTTCAAGATTAAGAGAGAGCAGCAACCTTGTAACAAACTAAATACAATATTTTCTTTAAATATATTTCTTATACAATGATTTAAATCTAGGTTTTACTTACATGACAGTTAACTGAATAACAGAACTTTTAAGTTATATTAAAATATAATGCAATGGAGTACTACCAGTATTGTGCAGCATGATTCTGTTTGCATTATATAGCTTATATAAAGTACTCAACTAACAGCATGTCCCCTTTCATAGTAACAGATAGTCCTAGCACTTCCAGTAGCACACAGACTAAAGATAGATCTCACACTGAAGGCTCCTCAATAGATCTGGAATGGGAACATGAAGCAGGTAAAGGTTCCAACAGGGACATGGCATGCATTCACAGAAATGAAGCACTGTTATGAAGTTCCAAATCCTGTGCCTGTACTTGAATATCTACATACTAATATTCTATAACCTCAACTACATGTAGGTGTGTGTCTTATGTGATACATGTGATAAGTGCTTTAGTGATACAAAGTTTTGATAATGCTAAACTATGCTGCCACAGCCTGACATTAAATCTTCTGGTGAGTTTTAAGAAGTGTTTTAACAATCATTCAAAAAGTGAGGGGGGGGGGGAGTAACGGTGCAGGGGGAGTATAAGTATGGGGATGTATCATTGCAGGTAATATAATTTTTGTTAGGGGGAGTAACGCTGTGGAAAAGTAAAGAAGATGACCTTAAGTTAACATGCTATGTGTAACTGTTCCCAGACAAGCAGTCTGTTATATGTAATATTAACAGGTCGTTTCTCTGTTATATTAACATGTTATATGTCTGTTATATAAAAAATATTGTGTTACTGTTCCCAGGCATGCAGTCTGTAGTTAACAAGCCCAAGAGGTCGATGACCGAGGAAGAACTGACCAGGATGACCGGAGCCCAGGACTCCGAGAAGACTAGCCCAGAGTCCGCAGAACTGGAATGGGAGAATGACTTTGTCAGTGCAGAAGAACTGGAAAATGAACTGCTTATTAATGAAGATTCAAGGACTAGTCTTGTGGACAGATGATAACCCTGCGATTTTTGTCTTTCTGTCTGCAATTTTATTATCCCAGCACTTGGATTTGTTTCATATGTATTGTCTATATATTCAGGGAGATTCATGGTTTGTACTTTTTGTGATAATGGTGAAGGGATCAAGAGTATATACTGGGCTACACCAAGAGTAATGGTATATTAGTAGACAGAATTTGCTCAATGATGAACGTTAGATTATATCACTGTAGTTAAGATACTGTAAAAAGAGGGATTTCAAAGAAAAACTTACTCATTGCAATTCCAGACTGTCATTTGATTAGAAGATTTCTTTAAATAAGATCGTTGATATTCATGTTAATATTTAATATTTTAAGTTATAGCTAGTTTGTAAGTGGTAGTAATTCTTTTTGACATTGTGAGCAAAGCTCATCACTGATTGTTAAGTCATATGAACTTGTTACTTGTTTGTCAGATATTTTAATGGTGCAATATCTGAAATGCCCTTTTATTTTTAAATTCAATTAATTGTACCACCAGCGTTGGCGCTGGCGGTACACATGGTTTCGGTCCCGTCCGGATCGTTCCGCCGGCTCCGCCAGCTCCGCCGGACGGCTACCGTTACCGCTTCTCCTCCTAGACGGTAAGGGCCCCCGTACCCATCTCATGGATTTAGGTCACCTATAATCTCAACTCGTTCCACGTAAAA